TATACCTTTTGGCAGTTACCCAATCAAATGGCCGTGATGAAAAAATAATCTAAAGTATATAGCCATTTATAAAAGACTCGTGAAACTATAAACTTTTGTATAAAACAAAAGAAATGCAATCAACCACAAATGAATCAGCACCACGCTACAGGACAAAAGTCGCATTAGCATTAGAATAAACTGCGATATGGCTTAATATCTGCAGCTGTTATTTAACAAATAAAGAATTGGGTATTCGTCTTTAAAATATTTTCCTAAAAGGGAAAAAATGAAAGGAAAGTGTATTGATAAATCATAAACACATGGTTGCGATTCGATACACCCCTTGCGAGATTTTTGTTTGTTGAAAACTATATAACTATTATGCATAACGGAAATTGATAGAAATAGAATGAGTTGAAAATGAAATGATTATGAAAAATGAATGAAATTAGTTTTTTCTTTAATATGTTTGGTTTGCAAAAAGAATAACACCTGAATAGAGTGACATTATCATCCTATATTATCAGTGATCACTAATTTTTTATAAAAAAATAATTTAAATATTTATATTAATGTTATTTTCTTATTTGTGATAATACTAGAATTATTTTATATAAAAAATAATTTCTTTTAATAAGATATTTTTATATTGTTGCGCTCATCTTATGTAATAAATAAATATATTAGTATTTGCATACATAATGACTAATACAATCTATCATTACATAAACCCCTATCAACATATGTGATCGAATATAATTAATTTAAATAATAATTTTCAATTTATGAATAAATATATAATATATAAAAATAAAATAATATCTTTCTATACAATTTATAAATGTATTTTTTGTGAATTTATTTTTTATATAAGTATTTAATATATCTAAGTAAAATATGAATAATATATAAAAATAAAATTTATTACTCATTACTTATTTAAAATTTTATTTTTTAAAATGTTTATTTAATATAATTTATTCATTATTTGTAGTATATTATATATTTATTTTTTATTGTTATTGATTAATCTTAATTCTTGAAAAACTGAATCCTAAAGATATGGGAATGTCTAATGAGAAAAACTTGTATATCACATGGAGATGGGTTTTGCAACTCCTATTGGAATGGTCATTCCTTTTTAAAAAGTATACTAATCATGTGATCAAGAATCAGTAAGAGAATGATATATTGGAATAAAATTATATATTAGAATTATGTGTGTGTACGAGTATATGAATATATAGCAAAGAAATGGATATAAATTTAATTAGTGATCTGTTAAAAATTGACTTACAATTACCACTTTTCAAATTTAACCACCTATTTATTAAAATTATAAATACTTTCTAATCCTTGATGTGCATCTCTTTCTCAAATTTGAGTAGAGATTTTCAATCAAATAGGAAATATACATATTGTGGCCTAGTGGATGAGCAAAAATTCAAATTAATAGTCTTTTTATCTAATAAGGTGTACATTTAGAAATAACAAATAGAAAGTACAACTGTGAGTTTAAGCTAATGAGTGAGAATAAGTCAATTGTGGTTCCATTAATCTTCAAGAGCATTTCTCACAATCGACTCTTATTTTTGTTGTACAATCTCATAATGTTGGTGGTTAGGTAAACTTGTATTTTTTTTCAATCTCATTATTCAAAATTTGTGTGAGACAGTCTAATACTTAGACGAGTTTGACTTATCATACTTACATACATATTTGTGCTATTAAATATTATGCTTTATTTGTATTAGTTTTTCAATATTGAACATTTAAAATTTAAAGAAAAAAAAATGATTATCTAACCGTCCCACATCATCTTAAAACATTAATTAGGTTGAATTATGAACAACTAGTGCGTAGCCCGTGCGATGCACGAGAAAATAATATTAAATAATAATTATAAATTAAAGATGCAGGTAAATAGCATTAAATAATAATAATAAATTAAATATTTGGGATTAAAATGTGATATAATTTACGGTTTATTGTACAATATAAAATTATCATGTACAAAAGAACACAAAACATGTATGTTTAATGTATTAAAAATACCTAAACTAACATATGTAAAGATATCTAAAATTTTTTACATTATTCTTAAAAAATATTAAATCACCTAAACTTCCCACTAAACTATTTTGTAAAGACAATATATCTAAAAGCACCTAAAGATATAAACTTTAATGTATAGAATGGGCAAAATAAATAAATAAATAAATAAATCTAAAAAGTATCTAAAATACTATATGTGTGAGTATTAAATGTATAAAAAACAGTATCTAAAACATTATTTAAGTAAATAATGCGTATTACAATCTAATATTTAGTATGAAATACGTAATTTGGAGCATTTTGTTAGAAAGAATTATTATTCCTTGCATTGGAATATAATACATAAACCTATATAAAAACTTCAGAAATTTTTAAGATCTATTAAGTGTGCAAGTTTTTATTTTTATTTATTTTTTCTTAGAAACAACGAACAACATTAAAATCTCGATCTCTATATTTATGAAATCTCAATTCGAAAGGTAACAAAAGTTTTAGAATCAAAGTCTTTCTATTTGTGTCTTTCATGTCTTGTACACCAGTTTCATATTGTTACTATCAATATTGTCTATATGTAATGTATCGCATGTCAAGTGATTTTGATTATATCTCTTTTATCATATTTTGTACCGATCCATCCATTAATTCTTATTTTTATTTACCAATTTCACGGAAATTATACGAATTCGTGTATATCTCGCAAACACTAACGCATTTAGTATGAAATACATAGTTTGGAGTATTTTGTTGGAAAGAATTATTATTCCTTGCATTGGAATATAATACATAAATCTATATAAAAATTTCAAAAAAAAAAATTTTGTTGAAAAATTTTCAATTGATGAAAAACTATAAAATAAAAATATAATTATTAAAATTAATATGATATAAAATAAAAAATATTAATTTAAAATGGTTGAAAATTAAAATATCAGATGTGTAATAATATTATTTTAAATGTTAAGTTTGTAGTGATATTATTTGATATCCATTCACAATCTTATTGGAAAAAATTTAATTTTTTCTTCATAAATTTAATTAAACAAAAAATGAATAATCATTTATCTTCATTATTCATATACTATTTAATTAAGTAATTGATTTTAATCTCGTTATCTTGCTTTATCTTCCGACAAATACTCAAATTATTTGCTAATCTAACGTGTTGCCCTTGTCATATCATATATTATTATAGATTTGTTACTAAGATAAAGATGGATTTTTTTTATTTCAATCTTTGAGCTTTAAATATTTTCCAAAAAAAATTAAAAATACAATTAGGCAAGTTTTTTGAAATTTGAAATTTAAATATAACAAATTCCACGTTTTATGGTAGCATTAAATGTGGCCTAATTTTTTTATTAAAAAGAAATTCTAAAAATAGAATGTAATTAATATTCTCTGAATTTTTGCTTACTATCTTTAGTAAATAGTAATTCTTATGAAATAGATATAGATTGTATCAAATTTAAATAAATAATGTATATAGTTTACAGTAATCATAAACAATAACTAACAAACTATTGGTTACAAAATAATAATTTATAGGATGAACGTAAATGTTTTAGTAATAAAAGTTAGTTAATTAATGTCCACATTGCCAAAAAGTATTCTATTTGCCATTCAATATTATATCCTTTTATTTGTAAGTCTTTTGATTTGAATTATTATGTGATTTTATATATTATGTGCAATTGAAGTTAGTATCCGCTACGTTAGTTTAGTTCGCAAGCCAATAGATGTTCAACTTCTACTAGTACGTAATCCGTGCGATGCACGGGATGTAAAATTTGGAAGAATAATATAATGTCACGTGCATTAGGATCGAAATTGAAATCATTAAAATACATAGGAACATTGTTGAATCATAAAAAGTTCGGTAACAATCATATATTATTAAAAGCCTCCTTATACACAACAGTATGAGTTTGATTATTTGGTAACTCCTCATTATCACAAACTAATATTTTCAAAAGAGACAAATCCTAAAAATCAAACTAATATTTTTGGTGAACAAACTAATATTTTAGGATTGGTGAACAAACTAATATTTTAGGATTTCTAGGATTTGTCTCTTTTTTGTGAACAAACTAATATTTTAGGATTGTTTATATGAATAAGGTTACCTGTTTTTGGTAATGAAATCCGAATCTTAAGCCGAAATATTTAAAAAAAGAGTTTTTAAAAATTGAAAAGTCAAGGCAATCAGTTCAGACTAATTAAAGGTCAAAGAATATCCGCTCCTTCAAATAAAGACGTGTGCTATCATTAACCAAATATTCGGTTATTGATATAGAGTGGTTACCAAAAAATAGAACGCTTCATGGAAATATCAATGGGATAAGGTCATAACAGATCGTTATACATTTTAACGATAAAAGCTCAGATGGAATGATTTATGATAATTATGTCGTAATTAATGAATTAATTAGATGTGTGAAAAAGACATAATTAATGAGAAGTGTGAAAAGGACATAATTAATGAGAAGTGTGAAAAGGACATAATTAATGAAGTGTAAAAAAGATATAATTAATAAGAAGTGTGAAAAGGACATAATTAATGAAAAGTCTGAAAAGGACAAAAACTTACCAAATTTAGAAAATATTTAATGTAAATCCGACATTGACCATAATTTGACCTACTATTTTAGATAAATGTTAATTCTTATTATATCTAAAGTTTGATGAAATGGAGCAGATAAGTAGTGGCAAAAAGGGAGGCATACCAGGTCATTAGCAGGTTAGTTATATAGCTAATTGAAGAAAAATGGGTCCCAATCCTAAGCATGAGGGACAGGTTGGAGCAATTGTAGGCCCATGTGTTGATTTAGACTCTTGTGTTTGGGACAAACCTTTTTATATTGAAATTATTATGAACATGTTAGCAAAGTTTTTTCCTTTACCTATATCTTTGACCCCTCCACCTCTCTCCTCCCCCCTCTCTCTCTCTCTCTTTCTCTCTCTCTCACACACACACACACACACAATAAAGAGAGATACTGAATTGGTATGGCATTAGTCCACAAATCCAGTCTTACCCAGCCCAACTCCTCTGCCTTTCGACATTCTCAAAGCCCCTTTTTCTCCTTTTTCTCTTCTTTTCTGCGTAATTCACTCGGCACATTTGTTGGGAGGCTAACGAGGTTCTGCTCTATTGTTCATCGCTTTTCCTTTCTAGAGTCCATGTTCTTCGTTTTACTTGCTTTCTGTAATAACATGTGAAATGTAAAAAAGACATAACCTTTGTGATTTCAGGTGGACTCAACTCTCTCTCTCTCTCTCTCTTTTACAGAAAAGAGGTGGGTCATTGCTCAAGATCTGTGTGTGTTTTCATGGGCCCATGCTCTTTTTTATTGTTTGCTTTTTTCCTCTGTTTTTTATCCTGAAATTGTGGTTATGTTTTGCTATGTGGTTATGTGCGACTTTAGTAGTGTTTGAATGGCTTGATTTAATCTTCTTTTCTTGCAATTCGACGGCGATCTGTTCATGAGAGTGCTTTCTCTTTGTTTCTCAAGGCGAAAAAGGTTGCACCTGGAAGTTGAATTGTCTTTTGCTTCCTTTAGGGAATCAAAAAATTCTCTTTTTTCCTATTTTGTTAACACGTGTTCATCTACATCTTGCACCTAATGTCTGTATTTTCCTGAGAAAAAGAATAATCTGATTATTTGATGTGTGATCTTTGTGGTTGCTGTGAGGACTATTACGTTTCTTTCTACTTTGTGTGATTTTATCCTCCAATTCTATAAGTCTGCTTCTCCATCAATTATTGCTCTTTAATTTCATTAAATTGCTTTCCTTTAATAACAGATGTTGATGACAGAATTTCCCTACTGAAACGGTAGATTTTTTGTTTTCGGCCATCAAGTAATGCTCCTTTTCCAGCCGGATTCACAGTTTCAACACTCATCCCAATGACTTCTGAACTTAGTACAAAAAATCCTTTAGAAAAGCACAATAAACTTCATTCAGGGCAAGCTGTAGAAGGAAATTCTTGGAAGAAAACGAAAGAATTGCCCAAAAATATCAACAAAACTGCCCCAAAAAAACCCACAACAGCCCAACCAATTAAATCCCTTGGCTCCTCAGCCGGCAAACTCGACCCCAGTTTAATGCTGGCCCAACTGAAGGATAAAAAATTGATTTTTGATCAAGAAAAGAAAGAGACCGAGAACTTCAAGGACAGCTCTGCATTTGCAAAGACGAGTGGTAGCACGAAAATCAGCGAAAGGCTTGAATTTGTCGAGAGTGGGAAAAGCAGCCTTTGCAGAGGCAGCACGAGCACTGACATAACTGACGAGAGCACGTGCAGCAGCTTCAGCAGTGGGGTCAACAAGCCCCACAAGGCCAATGACTTGAGATGGGAAGCAATCCAGGCCGTCCGATCGAAAGACAGTGTTTTAGATCTGAGGCATTTCAGGTTGCTGAAAAAATTGGGGTGTGGGGACATAGGGAGCGTCTATCTTTCAGAGTTATGTGGCACTAGCTGCTATTTCGCAATGAAGGTCATGGATAAGTCATCCCTTGCAAGCCGGAAAAAGCTTCTGCGGGCCCAGACAGAAAGGGACATTCTGCAGTCTTTGGATCATCCGTTCTTGCCGAGTTTGTACACACATTTTGAGACGGACAAATTTTCGTGTCTGGTTATGGAATTCTGTCCAGGTGGCGATTTGCATACACTAAGGCAGAGGCAGCCAGGGAAGCATTTTTCCGAACAAGCAGTGAAGTATGATTTTTTTTTTTTTTCAAATCGTTGCTTTTATTTTTTGCGATTTTGTTGCTTTTGTTGAGTGATTTGGATTTTGGGTCAACTAGTGGTTGGAGAAATAATTTTGATTTCTGGGCGTGACTGAAGATTTGGAATTCCTTATCCGTATGAAGTGAATGGGCATTTAATCATATTTCTTTCAAATGAAGGTACATATGAAAGAAGGTTTGTTGTACTAGAGATATTGTTAACACTCCATTTGTGGAGATATCATTTAGGATACTGCATATCAGCTTGAATCTATATAGAGTTTTCTAATTTTGCATGTTCTTTTTGTTTCCAGCAATATTTTTAACATACTGCATATTCTTTGGCATACACATTCTCCTTTGGAGGCTATGTTATCTCAGCAGGTGCAAAATGTATATTTCTGTTGTTCTGTCTGGCATATTAATGTTCATGTGTGGGGGTGAGCTGAAAATGGAACAATTCAACTTTTACCATATTGCAACCCCAAACAACATCCATTTCAACTTTCCCAGAATATCACCATTCAGCATGGTAAATGTGAATATCCATGCACACAGAGTTATGCTCATGATCGATCATTTTGTTATTTTTTCTAAAACTCTTGTGACGATATTGAAATAATCGCTCCAAATACCTCATTTTGATGTCTAATGCATGTTCTTCACTGGTCTCATGATTAAAATACACACACTATGTTTGCTAGTTCTAATATTAATCCACATCCTCATTCTTTCTTCAATACTTACATTTCTACAGAAGTAACACCATAAAAGACAACAAACAATATGTTCCTTTTCATCTCCAACTCCCACATTGAAATCTCTGTTCGCTTTCTCGTTTTCTCAAGTCGTCATCCAAAACATTTTCTTGTACCATAATTATCCAAAACACTCTTCTTTTTTTTTTTTTCTTCCTTAAATGAAATGTCTCATTTTTCGAATATGCAGATTTTACGTAGCAGAGATCCTCCTCGCTTTAGAATACCTCCACATGCTCGGCATCGTGTACCGTGACCTAAAACCCGAAAACGTCCTCGTCCGTGAGGACGGCCACATCATGCTCTCCGACTTCGACCTCTCCCTCCGCTGCACAGTCAGCCCTACACTCATCAAATCCTCCACCACACTCGACCATCCAAACCCCATCTCCTGCATTCACCCTTCCTCTTGCGTGGGCCCCACTACGTGCTTCGGTCCCCGCCGCTCCAAAAAGGACCGTAAGCCGTCCAAGAACGAGGTGTGCAGCCAGGTGGTGTAGACTATTATTATTATTATTATTATTATTATTAGCATAGGTATCTTGGAGAATAAGTTGAGAATTAAATATTATTATAAGAGATCTTGCCTTGTTGGAAATGACTGAAAATATCTATTGTTAGCATAGCTATCTATTGTTTTAGGTAGTTGATTTTGACTGAAAATATGAATTGATATCGTATTTAGATGATCTTGAGATTGCGATCTCATTAATATCATCTCACTCGTATGCTTCCCTACATCACCAGGTCAGCCCGCTGCCTGAGCTCATGGCCGAGCCCACCGAGGCACGGTCCATGTCGTTCGTCGGGACCCACGAGTACTTGGCACCCGAGATAATTAAAGGCGAGGGCCACGGGAGCGCGGTCGATTGGTGGACGCTCGGGATTTTTATGTACGAGCTACTGTTCGGGAAGACACCATTCAAGGGGTCGGGCAATCGGGCGACGCTGTTCAATGTTGTGGGCCAGCCGTTGCGATTCCCGGAGTCGTCTCCGGTGGTGAGCTTTGCGGCCAGGGATCTTATGAGAGGGTTGCTGGTGAAGGAGGCGAAGAATAGGGTGGCGTACAAAAGGGGGGCTACTGAGATAAAGCAGCACCCGTTTTTCGATGGGGTGAATTGGGCTTTGATACGGTGCGCGACTCCGCCGGAGGTGCCGAGGCCCGTTGTGGTCGAGAGAGTTGCGGCACCTCCGCCTAAGGTGGCGCCGCCGAAGGATAATTATTTGGAATTTGATTTCTTTTAGTGGTGCATCTTTTTTTTTTTTTTGGTTCCATTTGATGGGAAGGGGTGAAGAAGGGAAGAGTGGTGGCTGGGGTGTGTATGTGGCTCAAGTGTACTCATCTTGGTGTTGTGTTTTTCAGACAATGTTGAGTTTGATGCATGCTGTAGTGGTGTTATTTGTCTCTCAAATCTATGATGTGAAGTTTTTATTGTACCATTTCTTGTACATTTGCTTTTGGTTCGTTGTTTTGGATGATTTTTTTGCTGGAAATTGGATAGGTTGTAGTAGCTGATATAATATAATGAGGAAAAGGAAGAAGGAAGTTCTTACGATGATGGTGAATGGCCATTTTGGGGTGGGTTGTTTTACTGGAATTTAAACGAGTATAGATAGAAATGCTACTGATATGTTTTTTTTTATCTTCCCTGCACCTGGTGTGAAATTCTGATTCGATTCATCAGTCAAGTGAATGGTAAAATTGGATTAAAAAAATATAATTAACAAAATCTACTTATCAAGACAAAAAAATATATTATGAAACAATTGTTTTTAATGTAGACTACATATAATAATGGAAAATTCTATAAGGCTCCGTTTGTTTTGAGGAATTTGAAATTCCTTGATTTTAAAATTTTTGAAATATAATTTTTTTTACATGCACACTCCTTGAATGGATGTGTTGAAAATATTATAAATCAATTGTCTAGCTCGCACTGATGGTGATAAACCTAAATAATCGCCGACGGCGTGGTCGTCAACAGTGATAAACAGTGGATTTCAAATGACTAGGTTTGACGAGTCATTTAAAATCCTTCAAAATAATTACTAAAAAACATCTAGCATGAATTTGAAATCCTTCAACTTTCATTACCATCCCACCGGTGGTGTTGACTCGCGGTGGTGATGAACCTAAATGATCGCCAACGGCGTGGTCGTCAACAGTGATAAACAGTGGATTTCAAATGACTAGGTTTGATGAGTCATTTAAAATCCTTCAAAATAATGACTAAAAAACATCTAGCATGAATTTGAAATCCTCCAACTTCCATTACCATCCCAACATGCATGATGATTTGAACTTGTAAATTTGAAATTTATGGATCTCAGTAAATCATTCAATCCAAACTTAGCCTAAAAATATATAATCACTGTCGTCTTCTTTTTGCAATGATTTGTCATCCCTAATTTCACTAACCGATGGTGGATGATGAGGCGGTGACTGGGCGACGAGTCGCGAATGACGGTCGATTGACGTGTGATTTTTGGAAATTTCAAATTCGACACCAAACCCGACAACGAATAGTGAAAGCAGATATTAGCGATCTGGTCATCATGCAGAGTTCCAATCACTGACTTGATTCGATGGCTATCGCGCGATGGCTAATGGTTGGTTCGACTGGACTGCCTATAGGATAACGACGATGATCCTGTTGTTAGTGTTATATACTGAAAGCTTGGCTTTGCATGTTATTACACATTTACCCTTTATGAATGAGAATCATGTTAGATTAAACAAGTTCTACGTTCTGTTGTTCTGCACTTAGATAGGGTGGGTCATCATCGGGCGAACCGAAGATCACTCTATCAGTCACTTGCGAACAAGAATAGTTGTTCACAATCTAGATGGGCATGAACACCCCATCCGAACGGTTGTAGTGTCAACTGTACAGTTTGTCTTGACTGATTAGTTGCACTAGTACATTTATGTATTGAACAGGATCGCAGAGAGGAGAAGTTCATTTTATACTGATCGTCGTAAATGAACTAGGCCTCGGTTAATTACTGCGTTCTCTTAACCCGTAAGATATTAAACAGGCAGATATATATAATATATATTACTTTGATTCACATGGGTGAGGTTCAGTTCGCTGGATTAATATTCCTACTGTTTTGGGTAATATTATTATATATAGGATGTGCTGTTAGGATATTTACGGTCACCATGTGCGTTAGTTTGATGATGTCCCCGGAGTGAGTTCATGAAGGATTGTTATGCTAAACCCTGCAGGTGGATTAAATTCCGGCATAATAAGAATGTGATGAACGAGCGCTAGCTTCGGTGAAATAATAATAAATTAATTAATTCTTGATTGTCAGTAATCGAATTAATTAATGGACATTATATCTTAAACGTGGGGAGGTAAATCGAGTAATTATTATTGGAGTCTCAAATGTAATTTGGGCTAGGGAAAGGGAGTGCAATAATATAATGTTGGTGGCCCATTAATATTATTTAATTAATTAGAGGAGTGGGTTTGGCCCACAGTTAGTCTAATTAATTAAGGAGCCCTTTTCCTAATCTCCTTAGGGTCCCTACTGTAGCTCTATATATACATCATTAAGCTCATGAGAAGAGAATCCCAATCCTATTCACACGTGAATAACGCCGCCCATCTCTCTCTCTAGATCTCATTCGAGCTTTATCTTCTTCTTGTTGCTCCATTGGTACAAGTTGAAGAAGGGTGTATTGAGTAATACAGTAGAAGATCTGTAGGTAAACCGAGACGAAATAGATTTTGACCTACAGAACTAACGGAAGTCCGATTGAGACGTACAGTATACCCAGACGACCGTCTCGACGAGAACTTTCCATCGCCGCCGACGTCGCCGGAATCCGACGCCGCACGCGCCCTCACGCGCCGCCGGAAGGTGTCTGGCAGCAAAATTTCGTTTTGATCTGTTTGCATCCGTTTGATCCAGTTTTGATCTGATCTTGTTCGTGCAACCCAAGACGCGTGTTGCGGTCAACCGTTCGTGGTCAACCAGATCTACATAAATTTTAAGCCGTAAGTTCTCTACGTCAAACCTTTAGATCCGCTGCGCATAAGTTTACGTTTGCTATTGAATTCGTGATTTGTACATAACGAGATCCTCACAGGTAAGTTCTCTACGTCAAACCTTTAGATCCGCTGCGCATAGGTTTACGTTTGCTATTGAATTCGTGATTTGTACATAACGAGATCCTCACAGATCCCAACACCTGTATCCCCGAAGCAACGGACGTTGGTGAATATGCGGCACCGGGTCGATTGGTGGCTGGTGAATGCTTGGGTTGCTCAACGTCGTTTGATTTGTGGCTCGTACAGTCAGTGGGGTGTCTTAGGGCGTACTTGGATATAAAATTTTCATTCCATGCTAACTCAAAAATCTTACTCAACTTTAACACAACTCTACTATTCTCAATATTATCAATGTAATTAAATAATATCAATAAATCATTCTTACAAATCACATCAATTTTAATTCACTATTCATCCACTCACATAATTTTAGCTAACAATCATTTCACATCGTATCTCTCATACTCTTATATCAAATCATCTTAATTGTTATTTTTTAAATACTATTTTAATGTAAATTTAAAATCTTACTAACAACTAAACATACAACATTTTTCTGAATTAATCTTGGTTAACAAAAAAAATTCATTTTGAGCGAAATTTTTTATAACCAAGCACGCTCTTATTATTTGGGATACACATGTTTTTTTTTTATTTCTCTATGTTTTCGAAGATTTCAATGTTTATTAGACGTTTATTAATAATTTATATTTGATATATGAACAAAATTATTTTAGCCATGTAACGAGACCTGCTAACATAAACCTATTATAAACTATAAATAAACTAAATGTAAATGTAAAGAATAAATAGCTCGTTTTTGGGGAGGTTTGTTGTGTTGTTTTTAGAGGTGAGGGAGACTCTTGGAGGAAGTTCTTCTCATGGCGGACATATTTGAAGTGGGGTTGTGATTCTTCTTCAATGCAGTGTTTTTTATGATGAGATTATTATTTGTGATAAGAAGTTTAAGTCGGACGCAAATGTGTTTGACATATAGCTTTCTATGTGCTTTTAGTATTGATTTATTGGTTATATGTGTCATGTTAAAAACCTAAAATAAAACCATAGAATGTATTTGTCTATGTAATTGAATATCGAGATTATCGTATAAACTGTGTAAATTTCTTACACAATTATGAAAATTTAGATGGTATTGTATGGCTCTTGAAATATATAAATGTTGTATAATTTCTTTAACAAGACACACAAAAGTAAACGTATTCTATATCACATATATAAACTTGTTATATGACGATTTATGCACATAATGTAAACAATTTTTGTGAACCATTTATAACATTATTTTAACTCCATAAAAGAATATCTTTTTTAATTTGTTATTCAATTGTTTTTGTGACATATTTTTATCTTTAAAAATATGAGTTAAGAGTTAAAGTATTCATCCATTGGTAGTGTAACTTCACTTGCGTCGTTTATATTCAGTACATTTCTAGTATATGTTGCGTTTTCCATCATCTCCTTAGTTGCTTTACGCGCAAAGTCCATAAAGTTCATATGCCCATTCTGTACTTTTTTTTTTATACTAATACAGGTCCCATACATCAGTGGAGCTATCTACAAATATAAAATAAAATATATATAAAAAAAACAATCGAATTAAAAAATAAATATGAACATCAACAAAATTTTAAAAATATAGTTTACGTCATGTATACAACTCTAAAGAAAAGCCAATAGTTTTACCTTCTATTTTCCTAATAAGAATTTAATTTCAATGTTAAATCAGGTGTTCTTAGTCGATTACGTCCAAGCTTTTCAAATTCATAACATAGCTAAAAAAGTTTGTTCATATATCAAACAAAAATTATTAATAAACGTCAAATAAATATTGATTTAGAAAAAGATTCAATGTTTAGTATCAGATCAAATCGAATCAAGGACCCGAATTAAGACCCGAAACTGTGGCCATGGTTATGGCCCTCTTCTCCACATCCGCAAGCTCAGAAGAATGCTTATTGTCCTTGCGGGCATCGCCCCCATGTGATTCTCCATAGCTCGATCGATTTGGAAGTTGGTTGTGTTCATCTCACGCACGCGCTCGAACAACTCCCTCTCCGCTGAATCCCCTATACGCCGCCTCGATCTTGGAACTAAGCTTCGACACCATTCGCAGCTATGACTGAGCTACAGAGATCTCTCCCTCGATTCGCCTCAATTTTTCCAATCGGCCATTGCGCTTATCCCGAAGCTCATCGATTGTGGGCCCGGACGAGGCTCAGATCGCCAGCGAGCTGATGTAGGAAGCGTACGAATGAGAAAGATAAACGAGATACTCTCTCGATAAAACTCACAATCAATTCATATTTTCATTCAAAATCAACTCCCCTAATAACAAAGTACAAGAGCCCTTTAAATAAGACTCTTAAACTAAACCTTAGCTTATTCTCCAAGCTAACTAATAATAATAATAATAATAATAATAATAATAATAATAATAGTAATAATAATAATAATAATAATAATAATAATAATAATAATAATAATAATAATCACCATAATTATTCTGCATCATTCTCCTCCAGTTGAGCTGGAATCGCCCTCGAATCCGACAAGTTCCCGTAGGAGACGTCCCCATGACAGGAATAGCCTGGGCGTTTCCCCCTATCGAACACTAAGGTTGAAGGTCGCCCAACGACCCCGAAGGTAAACATAATCTTGGGCAAGTACTGATCTGCTGGAAAGGCACATGTACTCGCCTCCATACGCATAACCCACACAACTGAATTAACACAAACATACCATATCGTTCGCCGCGCTCAAAACCATAACTATGGCCAAGCATCCCGTTGTTGGGAGACTTCGCGATAGACAATCAGACAATGACCCACTAGTTATTGAGCCTCGGCTTCGGCTTCGAAAAATCATCGTTGGCGAAGATACTCCAAACATCGGGTTGAATGACGCATCCCCGTCAAATGCTCAACTTCTGCGACGTCCCACGCGGGACCCATATTGCCACAAAAATATGTCTCCGTCACCGGAGGCTCCTCATCAAAAATAGGTGGACCGTCGTACAATAGCCTATCATCTTCCTCAAAAATCACACTTTGTTGCCGCACATCTTGGTCGTCGTGCGCAGCAACGAGCTTAGTCTCGATGGGTGTAGGCGGCCACTCTTCGAAGGGATCCACCTCCGAGATGGTCTCCTCGCCGTCTGCATCGCCGGGGGCGGTTGTAGAGATCGCCGATGGGACGCCCCGCCTGGACCACGACCTCTACTTCCTCCGTGAACTCTCCCACGCACACCCCGGTCGGCGGCGGCACGTTCATCTGCAAATCCCAGACCACGTTGTTAAGCGTCATACGCAAATCCTCGATCCCCGTCGAAAGATCTGCAAACCAATCTGTGAAACAAACGTCCAACTGTTGAAATCGGTAGTCGATCTGTTGAAACTAATCGTTGAAGGTTACATCACGTCGTTTGTTTGCGGTATCTTGTCGTCCCGGCGACATCGTGAATCGTACTGACTGTTGATACCAACTGATGTAGGGAAGCGTATGAATGGGAAAGATAAACGAGATACTCTCTCGATAAAACTCACAATCAATTTATATTTTCATTCAAAATCATCTCCTCTAAAAACACAGCACAAGAGCCATTTAAATAAGACTCTTAAACTAAACCCTAGCTTATTTTTCAAGCTAACTAATAATAATAATAATAATAATAATAATAATAATAATAATAATAATAATAATAATCATAATTATTCTGCATCACGAGCCCAGCGAGGGGTCGGACCTTGGCCTCGATCTTGAGGGACTGGTCGTAGACCTCACACTCGGGCGTCACAGTACGCCCTGAAGGAGGTGGCGGCGTTAATGCGCGGCTAGGGCTGCACACGAGTCGAGCGGGTCGCGAGCCGCTTGAGTCAAAGCTCGGCTCGAGCTCGAGTTTGACCGAACTCGACTCGAGCTCGAGCGGCTCGAGTACGAACTCGAGTCGAGCTCGAGCCCATATTTTACATTGTCGAGCGGCTTGCTAGCAGCTCGAGATATATGATAAATTACTAAAATACCCTTCTATATATATAATTTGACAAAATTATTTGAAAATTTTTGAACCGAACTCGAGCCGAGCTCGAGCATTTTGAATTCGAGTCGAGCTCGAGCTATTGTATTTTCTTATTGAGTTGAGCTCGAGCCTAAAAACTCGAGCTCGACGAGCTCGAGCTCGAGTTCGAGCAGCTCAAAAAAAAAATCAATCCTGCTCGATAAGGCCAATGTTCGACTCGGCTCGGTTCGTTTGCAGCTATATGCGCGGCAGAGGCCGTCCTGCATGGCGACGCTGAGTATGATTTCGTATTAATATTTTTTTTCTCAATCGTATTTATATGTTCGAATTATTTCGAAATCACCAAGCGTGTAAATTGGCCTATGTTCTTTACCCGAACTTCTACTGGGCCAATAGGCCCAACTGGCTACATCTTCTATTGGGCTAGGAAAGAGTTCCGAAAAAGATACAGATTCGCTTCTCACGCAATACAATCACCAGCTTCTTCTCCGAACAATCTTCATCGTCTCTGTAGGAATTCACTAATGGGGTAAAAGCCCTAGAAAATGTGCAAGCGCAGATAATGAGAAGAAACCACCTGGTTCGAGCACTTGGCCGGGCCCGAACCCGAACTCAGTTGGTCCGTTCCCTGTCCACCTCAACCGTGGAGCTGAAAAATGTGACCAAATCAAACTTCGAGCCGGCGCTTGCGGAGTTGCGCCGCCACGTCAGTGAAGCCGACTTCGTGTCGATCGACTTGGAGATGACGGGGGTGACCAGCGCGCCGTGGCGTGAGGCATTCGAGTTCGACCGGCACGATGTCCAATACTTGAAGATCAAGGACTCCGCCGAGAAATTCGCCGTCGTTCAGTTCGGCGTCTGCCCTTTCCGGTGGGATCCGCATAGTCACTCATTTGTTTCCCATCCGTAAGTGTTATTGTCAGTGTGTGTTTGCGTTCTTTCGTTTTCGTCTGTCTGTGCGCGTGTGTATGTGTTGCTCTTTGTGAGTACCTTTTTGAAGCAGAGATAAATCTGGAACTACTGTTTTAATTCAGGCTAATCATTATCTATTTGGAAGTAATGCTCGGGCTATTATGATATGCTCGAAATTTGGATGGAAATCGTAGGCCTTTAAGATATGCTTGAAATTTGGATGGAAACCGTAGGCCTTTAAGTTGGATTTTGGTATTGGGTGGGGTTTGTTTGAATTGCTTTCTATGATTAGTGAACCAGCTATGTTGTGCTGTATCTACAGGCACAACTTTTACATATTTCCACGGCAGGAATTGTCAGGCAATGGCTCATCTAATGAGTTCCTGTGCCAGACAAGCTCGTTGGAGTTCTTGGCAAGATACCAGTTTGATTTCAATGCATGCATTTATAAAGGTGAAGTCTTGTTTCACTATGTTTCTTGCATCTTATAGTATCTTTATATCAAATCATCTGAATGAGATGCCTTTGGTCGGCTGTTAGGACATCATTTTGTAGCTTGTTTACATTTTTTCTAACCTATTGTTTTTTTACTTCCCGAAAAAATTAGTGTAAATCCCTCTTCTCTTCTCTTGTTTATAAATTACAACTAACTATAATGACTTCTATGGAAAATTATGCTTAAGTCCAATTAGAGGAATGTTAATGTTCACCTTCAAGATGACGATCTCAGATATTATATTTATAGATAATGAACTGTTAACCTGTATCTGATTCTAAATTTTGACTTCTTTTGTGGACTTTAACATTGATTTAAGTTCATACTCTGATCGTCTTTAGTTATGCTACATACATAAAGGCAGAAATATGGAACATGCTGTCACATGTGTTTTGATAACCGGGGCTAGGGATGTTTGGTTTCAATCTTTGACTCAATCTTTAGAGGTGCATAACTCATTATGAATGTGATAGATTTTATGTTAATTGAGAAATAAGCCCTTCTCTTTCACTTGTGTTTGTAATTTATTTTTGGTCTGTCAAACTCTTTTTTCTTTCATGTGTCAGAAATAGCTCCAACTTCTCTTAAATCCAAAAATTATTGTGTCCTGTTGTTCAGTGTCTTCCCTGTACCATGAGTTCTATTTGGAGATTTTACAATCTTACATAACCTCAGGTGTATCTTATCTATCCAGAAGCCAAGAGGAGGAAGCATTGAGACAGTTAGACTCAGTATACACGGATGAATTACATGAACCATCCTCTAACGTGAGCCACGACACAAAGTTTGTTAGAATGGCGGATACTCTATTTTCTGAGAGAATGAAGAATGTAATCAATGAGTGGCGTTCCGAATTATTAGGGGAGACAAATAGGGGATCGGTATTTAAGGGCAACTCGGATGGCACGAACCAGAAATTTCAGAGTACTTTCTTTAAGATGCGCCCTGCTCTTGTAGTGAATGGCATGACATATCGCCAACTGAGATTGATTAAGATGGTAATGCATTTTCTGCTACTCATTGTTTGTTTTTATTTACTTTCTTCTTGTTGTCCAAAACTAGATTAAGACTGTCCGCTTCGTATGTATATTTGGTTTGGGTCTGTGCGCTATGCTATAATATGGTAGGTAATTTATCATCTTGCATGTTGATAAACTCATAAACATCTTTCTTATAACTTAAAAGGCTCTGTGTGTGTATGTGTGTTTATGAATTTAAGTCGATGTTTACATTTGAGCTAGTACTGGCTTGCCACCATAGATAATTTGTATCTTACTATACATTCACACTCTCGAGGATACTTCTTCTCTACATTTGCATAGAGAACTTTGTCAATAAGATGGTTTAACTTTGTTACATGGGCTTACAGCCATGTGGTGAGAAGTGTTCCTTAATTGGAAATAATGTTTTATACCATTTTTGCAGTTGTTTGATTCCATAAAATCCAGGCACTGCAATCTTTTCGCCCTTCCTCTCGTTGCCCTTTGTTTGAAATCTGCATCCATATTCTGATCTATCCTCATTCAATAGGTTATATTAATGTCACTAACCATTTCTGTGGCTTCTTCACTTATTTTCATGTTTCTTATAGTTTTAGTATTTGATGTAACCAGTGGTGTATTTTGTATATATACTAATGTAATGTCGCACTTAGGTCACGGAGAAGCATTTCAATGACCTCACTTATGTTCATGTGGCTGGTGAAACTTCTGGTTCACAACCACTGGTAGTCTACACTGATTCTACAACAGACAGGGATGTACTAATGGTGAGTCTATGTGAAAGTCCTAAAATAGAGGCATATATCGTTGTCATAATTTTTAACATGTTTCATTTCCCTTTTCCTTTTTGTTTTATTTTTATTTTTTATTCTTTTTGCTCTATTCCTATTTATAGTAATTTTGTCAGCAAAGTGTTTGGAATAGCAATTGTTTCAAGTATCTAACAAACCCTCTATAATCATTTTACTTTGCATTCTGTAGAAGGAGGTTCAAAGTTGTCGAAGAGTTGAAGCGGAAAAGAAGATCAAATCTGCTATTGGGTTCCGGCATGTTATTGATCTGCTTTCCTCAGAGAGAAAGTTGATTGTTGGTCATAATTGTTTTCTCGGTACAAAAATATCTTAATTATTGAGTTTCATTTTCACGCTTTTCTTGTTGTAACTTGTGGTAGTCTTGTCCTCTTTCTTGATACTTTCTTTGTGATGCTTGTGCCAGATCTTGTGCATGTTTATGGCAAATTTGTGGGTCCTCTTCCTTTGACCGCCCAGGATTTTGTCTCGGCTGTACACGCATATTTTCCCCACATAATTGATACTAAAGTTATGCTAAATTTGGATGATGGGTTATCACGTATCATGAAGAATGGCAGAACTTCACTTTCCAAAGCTTTCAGCTTACTCTGTCCACCAATTGCACAGGATGGCACAAGCACTGGTTTGAATGATAAACTGCGTGTTAGAGTTGAAGTTGAAGTGGATGGCCAGAGGTTCGTTTATCCTAGTTCTGATATTATTATGAATTCACAGTAATTATTGTGTAATAACCCTTGTGGCAACTAGCAAATTGTAGTTCTAGTCCCTAACTAGTTATTGTCATTACTCTATAAGTTACCACATCAAACATGAAAATTTAAAGGTAATTTTTGGAATTTTTAAAATTACCTTGGGTCTTTTTTGTAGTTAGGTCATAATTCAAGGGATCTTTCTGTCACTGAGTCCTCTTTTTTAAATTTCACCGGGAAAAAATATCTCGCCAAACATTTATAATATTCCCATAAAAAGTTTGGAATTTTAATGCCACCGGCCAAATGAATGGCTTTTCCGGCAGTTATTGGCAAATTGAGTTCCAATATTTCAGCAGCATTTATTCAGCTAAAAATCTTGATTTACTTCAAGAGATTTTAAAATTGTTCCAGTAAAACCACATTTAACCAAATATTTATTTAATATGCAATGCACAGGTTTTTGAATTGGAATTCGGGATCCAAGCATGAAGCGGGATATGACGCTTTCATGACTGGATGCGTCTTTTCACAGGCTTGCTCCAATTTAGGAGTCGATTTTAATTCCCATGATTTTCCCCAAAACGAGAAGCTCCAAAAATATGTTAATCATTTATACCTCAGCTGGGTGAATGGGGACCTAATTGATCTAACAACAGGGAAAATTGCAACCAAAACTCTAGTTGCCTCGAAAGCGAAGTGCAACAACTTTGTGTTTTCGAATATGATTGTTCTGTGGGGCTTATTGCCGACGTTGAGAGCAAATGATATCAGAGATATTTTAAACAAGGTTTTCGGGGTGGGCTCTATCAAGACAATCTACCATTTGGACGAGACTGCGGCTTTTGTTGAGTTCAGTAAAACAGAATTTGTGTCTGAATTTCTCAAATTGAAAGATAAATTGGAAATGGTTAAAGACCCGATTTCTATCTTGCACCCCTTGTCGAGAATTTTGGAAGGTGGGCGTGTACGTGCTGTTAATTACGAGATGTATAAGGAGATTTGTGGGTCACCTTTGTCTGAAATGGCCTTTTCGGATCAGGCTGAAGTAGCTTGGTTTATTAACAGGAAAGAGGAATTAGTAGAAGCAGCTATTGAGGTCAGGATTTAGGCAGAGATACATAGAAACATATTGGGAAAATTGTATTCCTTATGTTTTTTCTTCTAAGGAAGAGCAGTTGAACAAATGAGGTGGAAGGTCAGATTTGTTGTATGAACTTCAATTATTCATGTCATTATCTTCTGAATCAACAGGGCTTTTTTCAGTGGTGTTGGTGGAGAAAACATTTGAATTTTGATGAAACTGAAAAGCATAAAATGGAAAAATTGGTATAGATGCTCATTTGTGTGAAATTCCTCTATGTAATTCTGTCAGTCTTTTTCAGGGCCTTTTTGTACTTTTTACCATTTGGACGATCAATGGTAAAAACTTAATGATATACTTCATTTTTACACGTTTCACTAGTGTGTGTACTCGCTTACAACTAAAGAAAAAATATGCAGATTGAAATCGAACAGAGCCATTAATTAAGAAACATAACAAAGAGAGCCCAAACATCTGAAAACTGAAATATCCAGTGTGGAATTCTAAACTAATCAACAATCAATCTCAAGACACAACCCTAAAATAAACTACCTAGTCATAAATGATAAATCCAAAGAAATTAGAAACCTAGCTAAACAAAACAATAAAAGTAACAAACCCTACACAACCAGATAAACCATGACAAGAAGACCTAAAAATGCAGTCACAAGGCAAGAGACAAGCACTATATTCCCAGCCGAACTTTCCTGGCCTTCGCCGGAGCTGCCGCCTGAATATCCAATCGGCGCTGGTGACGGCGCAAGTGTTGGGGCAGCAATTTCCGATGGATGCATAACGCGGATAATTAGCCTTTGGCCCGATTTGCAGTGACCGGGCTGCCCGCTAATGAAATAGAACAGGCCCGATCGATCAAACTGGAAAACCGTGTTTCCATCTTCGAATTTGGAGATGGGATTTGATGTGTTGCAGGCCAGGTAATCGGCTTTGTTCACCACCAGCACCGAGTCCTTTTCATACTTGAAATCTATTCAAAAAGGAAGTTAGAATTTACTCTCAAATTATTAGTAGTACACAAAAATGAATGTAAGTGGCAAAATTACCAATTGTGTCCCTAACTCGAAACCGGTTCTTGGCGGCCCACTCGTTATATGTCTCCGGCTCGTCTCCGGTTGGTATTTTCCATCCTCTCTCTTTACCGCCGACTTGAAATTGGAAGCCCGACACCAAAACTGCCGCAATTGAGGCCGCAAGCAGCAAATTGGTGAAGGCTCTTGAGATAGATGCAGGGGAAGACATTTTTTAGGAATTATTATGTAGCTAAGGATATGATGAATACGAAAGAGGTTTAAGTTTCACGTTTTAGTGGACGCTAGAGTGCGTGTATTTATAATAGCAAGTGACGGTTTAGATTTAGTTGTAATTTTGTATTTGTTAAGTTGAGGAAAAGAGGGAGTGTGGGGAGGAAAGAAGGGGAAGTGGGCAGCAACAGTTAGTTAAGATGAAAACGTGATGAAAGAAAGAGTCTTTCCGTTTTCTCAAGAGTTTGGAATCAGTCAAACTTTAGGGCTTATGGGTAAAATGGTGTAGGGAAAAAAAAGAAGAAAAAAAAAGGAAAAATTCGGCATTTAAATATGCATGCGCTAGAATTAGTTTTAATATTGGCTCATTTAAATGAATTTCTGTTTAAGTAGTGTTTGACTTATGAAGGATTTTTTTCCGAATGAAATTTAAAATTAGTTTTTTATCATTTTGCGTGAAATTTAGTTTTTAAAATTGTATGCCTAGAAATTGTCTTTTTTTTTTTCTTTTTCTTTTTTTGACTTCTGATCGTACACTTTAATTTCCAATTGTTCGCTAAAATATTGTTCATTTTTTTAGAACAATTTATATGTCCTATTTTTTTTTTAAACATTTACGTATCAATAAATCTGTTAAAAATGCAAATCTTTTTAAAAATGGTCTACAACAAGTTTTGGTATTACGTTTTCCACAATAAATCTAAAAAATTGGTATTGGCCATTTACATCAATATCTCGAATATATGCAGTATTTTAATACTTTAATATAAAATCATCACGATTTTTAAAGGTTGTGTTCTTCAATTAAATAATGGTAAATTCTATTTATTTCACAATGAAAATTGTGATATATGCTGATATAAAATTACATTTAAAACTTAGTCATAACCAATATTTAAATACATAACCATATAGAGCAACAAATAAATACACATAGAGCTGTGCAACTAAACTATAAACCAATAAAAAATATTTAATGTACTATAGTATAATAAAAATATTTATTGCACTTATTATAAAAATTAATATTCTTCATTTATATATTGATACACAATTAATTTTTTTTATTTGTACTACGGACGTTACGTAATGTTAATATTTTAACATTTGACAACGTTTAATACATACCATTCAAAGTAGAAAATAATATTTTAGATGGTTTTAAATGTGTTAACTAAGTAGTATTAAAATATTTCACTATAGACAAATTTCATGTGACTTTATACATTAGGTTAAGAATTTACTCAAAAAAAATAAGTGAAAAAATTTATTTTAAATTATTTTTGTTATCATTTTTTTCTAAAAAAAAAGTTAGTAAGTGTTAAAAAAATATATTACCATTATTTTTTAATAATACGTTTAGTTTGTTTTTAACAAGTTATAATTAATATGCAATTGTTTCACAAGTTTTGACTTTTTCGCAACTTAAAGAGTAAGTAAGAAAATTTATTTTAAATAATTTGTATTAGGAACAATTTTTAAAAAGATAGTAAATATTAGAAAAGCATATTACCATTATTTGCTAATAATACGTTTAGTTTGTTGTTTAATAGATTATATAATATAATAAGTATAACTGATATACAATTCTTTGACAAGTTTTAATTTTTTTTTGTTGCATATTACATTTTTCATTGATTTTTTTTACATATAATGATTATTTGACTGGTATTTAAGATTTGAGTACTTTGTTGCAAACTACAGTTTTAATTGATTTTTTTACATTTAATAATTATTCAATCAGGTTTAACGAACTGTACAAAATAATTTTACTAATTAGTTCATGAAAATGATATGAAAAAAACTAATACGATATAATTAAAACTTTATTATGCTATACATAAGTGGGAGAAAATGACGAGTTTTACATAATTTAATGCCAAATTTTGTTTATTATGCTTAAAAATTGACATATTTGTATTAATGTTATTGTAAAAAAATATATAATTCACTTTAAGGAATTTTCAAAATCAAAATAATAAATTAAAAAATATTAATTAGGTTGAGATTTTTTTTTTAATTCATATCATTTCATAGAGTTTAGAAGGATATATAAAATTATCACATTATAATAATTTTTAAAACTGTAGACGGAGTAGTACTATTATAAACACACTAACATCTTTTCTTATTTTAATAAAGCTTTATTTCATTAAATAATATAATTTATAATTATCCTTTAATTTAAATAATATTTATATTTTATTTATTTAGCTTAAATAATATAATTTCTAATTATTATTTAATTTAAATAATATTTAAAGTTATTTCCGATATTTTTGATGTAATGATGGTAAAAAAATTAGAAAAGAATAAATACTACTCATTTAGCAATTCTACCCTCTACTTTTCCGTCCCAAATTGGCATTTATCAACTCCCCAAATAAAGATGTCACATTAATTTTTGATTTTTATATAAAAATTCTCCGATTGTGTGACTTATCACAAAATATGGGTAAACCATGTACATGTTGCCCAACGTTAAATTTTTAAAATTAATATTAATATTAATATGATATTTATTTTTATAAAACTAATTTTAATATTTCTTTACCTCATCATAACTATAATAAAATTAATTTTATTATTCCTATACGTGCATCAAATGGGTGTGTACTAATTATTTGCAGAATTACAATTGACTTATTTTNGCCTAGAAGGGGACACTACACGACTACGCTACGCGGATGAGCAACACCCGCTAAGTCATGTTCCAACCAAATCTTAACCCCATTTGATGGATTGTGTAACCTCATATATCCTGGCGAACCCAACGCCGCTTGTGCAGCTAGATAATCGGCTGCGTAATTGGCTCCCCTATAATTGTGACGAATCACCACCTCTCAAATGCGCCTCAAGAGGTCGTCCTTGATAGCCAAATTCAGACCCCTATGCATCCCTTAAGTTTTTCATTGTTCAAGACCATTTAAACAATATTGGAGTTATCAACTTCGGCTAAGATTTTACGACCCTCTAGCTCTCACGCAAGTTGTAACCCATGGTATAAACCCTAAAGTTCTTTCCTGATAATTAAACAAAGGCCAATATTATGCATGAACCCACCAACCCATCTCCCATCCGAGTCGTGAATAAGACCTCCCACTCCGGCTAAACCCGACAATTTATCCAACGTCCCATCAAAATTGACTTTCCACCAGCCCGACTCCGGAGGCAACCATTTAATGAGTTGCCATTCACTCACAAAACATGTTCCTCACAACCGCCTATTAGACGAAATAGCAGCTTCGTAATTTTTTCCTTCTCTCATCTCTCTTCTCCCTATTTCATTCCATTGCAATCTAATTATCTCTCCAATCTCATGTTTAACATTCTATATAAATTTGATTCTTTCTATCATCTATATTTAATTCTCTCTCCAATTATAATTACTATATAACATCGGATTCTCTTTTCCTTTATATTTTTTTAATCTCATATTACTATGTTAATGGCGAATAAATAAAATAAAAAGTATATTACAAGTAAATTACCAAATGAGTTATAATACCTATAGAAAGATATTGTACGTATATAGTTCCAATATAAAACATGAACTAGATATAATTAAATATGAAATCTTATCAAAATAATATAGAATATAATTTTTATTTGTACTGTTAAAACACTGTTATAAATGGCTAACTACACCAAACATAAACCATATAAAAATATAAAGTTTATTTTCAGTGTATTATAGGTTTATAAACGATTATTTTACTATAGATTTATATTCAATTCATTTTAAGTTTATTATATGTTTATGAACCAATACAAGAATACTGATTTTAATAAATAGTTTATTTTTATTTTGTTATAGTTTTATAAATCAATACTTTTATACGAACAAAAACCAAACATTCAACAAATAAAACATAAAATACGACAAAACTACAAATAAAAATGAAACAAAAACCATAATATGCATAAATCATGAAAAATATCCTAAACAACCTATACAATAATCAACCAAAAAGCAGCAAATTGCTCCTTTATCGTCTCATTAATTTCCTCGTCCCTATCACATTCTGTCAAAATGTAAACCTTCTCCTTAATCTATCTCTCAATATTTTTTTGTGGAATATCATCGAGTTCGGAATGGAAGTCGTCATCGGCATTAGGATTGGTACTAATCGTTAGGATTTTTCTTTTATTAAGTCCAACGTAGGCTGACGTCTAGTCTCCTTCATGGAGTTTAATTTGTAGTTTCTTGTTGTCTCCTTGATAGAGTTTGTATCTTCGAACACATGTGTCATTTCAAGAGGGGTTGGTCTAGATTTTATTTGGTTCCTGTAGTGTCAGACTGTCTGTTAACACCTCGAATGTATTATACTGAGTTTCAAGTAATTATTATATTTGTTATTTGAAAAAAAAAAAACTATATATTTGATTTCATTCTAAGATTATCACAATGACAATACGTTATCCTGCCAAAAACAACGGTTACCATTAAGACAGAAATAAGGAATTACAGAAATAGTTTAAAATTACAATCAAAGGAACCCAAATTCAAATTCACAAGTAAGCATAACAAGTACACAACGAAAGAGCCACCAATATCGACCTAACCGTGACCGAGCCCGGGATCCGGCCATTATCCTTACGGATAAAAGCCGCATCATAAATCGGCAAATTTATCAAAACCAATACCGCACACAAAAGAACTTGCAAAGCCACATTTTCGAGAACAAAATCGAGCCCACTAACCGGAACCAATTTCATGAGCACCCAAAGTAAACAAAGGAGATTGATCATGGCCAGGGAAGTTAGAATTGTGATCATTGGTGACGTGGCACCAAACTCCATTTTCTCCCTCTCGTATCTGAATAAGGCGTCCTCATTCGACACCTTGGCCGATATTATGAAGCCCGAATCAGCACAGCCCACGAACTTCAAGAAAGTGTCGATCACTGCAAAGAGATATGAGCTTGTTCTCTTGTACAGCCACATTCTTTGATCATTCCACCACCCTAAGGCCGTACTCTCACAATAAAGATATTCACAAAAACTGTATGCATTCACGGCAACAGTCACGTATGCAAATGGGAAAAGCCAAATGCTTGATATCTGAGAAATTTTCAGGTAAAACAAAGAGTTAAATCTAATTGCAAAAATTTCAAAGGGTGTGATTATTTTGCGAAAAGCCCGTCATCAGTCAGACCTGAATGCAGCACATGAAAATTACTTACGGGGTGTTATTTGTGTGAATGTCCTCAAAGGACTCTTCATGAATTCTCAATATATAGGCATCGCCTAAGTTGTTACAATAACC